AATTAAAAAATTCCATATAACATCATACAAATATAGATTACATGGAGCTTTCTTAATTTAACTTACTCTTTCTTTACTCCATTGTTATATTTGATTCTGTCAGAATGAGTTGCTGGAGATCTTACTCTGTTCCTCTCAGGTCTATTTGAAAAGTCAGTTTACTGGGTCTCAAAATCTGTCTTGCTTGGTTTACAATATCGCTGTTAGTTTTTATTCTGCTGACTTGAGCTCATTTCTCATATAGGGCTCCAACTGTCAAATGCAGTAAATGAATTTTCTTTTTCTGCCCAACCTAATTGTATTGTGCATCCAAAGAAAACTGCTCTGAGTTTGTTTTAGTTAAGCTGCATTGAAGTGTTCTGTATGTTTCTAGTGCTCTTGGAAATTCAAAGGTGATGCAGCAGCTTTTAAAAAACAGCATTCCACTTAAAGTATATAATCCCCATATTTTTAAAGTTAATACTCTAACACATTTTAAGGAGTTCCACTTAAAACATAATCCCCATATTTTTAAAGTTAATACTCTAACACATTTTAAGGAGTTTGAATTCCCTTTGCCAGTCTGTGTATGTTTTTTATGTGTACTTACATTGTTTTAGATGTGGTTGAATGTATCACTTTAATGTGTCAATTTACAGCTTAAATAAATGTTAATTCAATGCATGAACTAGAATGTTTTCTGGCAGAGTCGGCTTAGATAATGACTTTTGTGGCAGCTACAGTTCATTGTCTTAAATTGAACAGGGTGATATGCTTAACACTTAAGCTCTTTCATAAAATGCTGTTGATTTTGTTAAATAATGCATGCTCATTTTTGTGGAACTCTACAAGTGATCTGCCTTCTAATTATCAAAGATTTTGTGTAATTTAATAAAATTTTAATTTATTCTTCTCTAATTTTATGTAGAGATGGTATTTTAAGACAGGCTTTTTGTGTACATTATGGCAGCCTTACTAAGGAATGGAGCTTCTTGCTGACCAAACCTGTTCCCTTCTCAGAAGTGCTTTTTTTGCTCTGTACAGCCGGAGGTACTGACATGGGTCTCTCACCTTCGCCAGGGGTACCAAGCCTGTGGAGGTTTGTCTAAGCCCTTCCTTCCCAGCTAGGAAGGCGTGTTCACATCATCTTTTCTTCCCTGATGTTTGACCATCTGAGATGGTAGAAAAATGGGTTTTGAAGCTGGGACAGTGAAGGAGACCTGAATCTGAAATGAGAATGACACCACTGATGAAAAAGATCTCTATACAGGTCTTACCTATCCAGTAATAGGTATATTTTGGTTTTACTGCGGTATAACTGGCAAGCTTGTAGCAAGCTGGGAAACTTGGCACTGTTTTAGCAGTAGAAACTGGCTCTGCAGAATTCGTGGCATTTCTTCCTGCCCACTAGTTGCTGTAGTCCAAGCTGTGTAGTTGCCAGAGGCAACCCCGGCATTAATGTTGTGTGGTGACTGCACTGCAAGATAGCTGAAATAGAAACTCAGCACATGAAGTTTTTGGATAGGTCTGGTATTTCTGAGTGTTGATTAGGCAGGTGTCTGTCCTTTTCTAAGGCCCTCATAAGTCAAAGTGACAGGAAAACTTGTGGCATGAATTGTCACTGCTCCATTCAAAACCAATTGGAACAAGCTGGCACTTTCACAACCTTCATTCCAGGAAGATGCTGTAATTGGTGTCTTGAATTTACACTACTAAGAGAGTTGTTGAACTTGCTGTCCCCTCTGAAGTAACTCTTGACTTCCAGAGGTTATTGGATTGAGATAACAGGTTTACAAAGCAGTGACCTCTTGTCATTAGACATCATGTTACATTGGTATGTAGCCTGAGGATTTTATTAGTTGAATTACCACAGCTTGTGTGTACAGTTAGACTTAAGCCTATCTGAGATTTAAATGCTTAAATAAAAATCTGCTTGGACCTGAGTGTCATGCAAGCAGCAGGTGAGATGCTATTTTTGAGATTATAATGCTGCCCTGGTGTAGCTGAATATTTACTAAGATGAAGTGGGTGTGCATTTGTCCATTTTGATGCATGAGCAGAATGTTTGTATCCGTCTTTGCCTGTTCTTTTCCTTGTTTACATGCAGTCTGTGTAGTACAATCCAAATGTTTCTCCTTCCTGGTTCTTCTGCCCATGCCCCACATTTTTCCTCAAGAACGGTTGTAGTTTAGGCTTTTGCACTTAGGCTGTTACTGCCAGCTTGTACTTCATTTCCCCACTCCTGCAGAGGTAGTGGTGCTTATGTTTGCGTAATAATGAGCTCTAGAATCTTCTTCAGGTGTTGCAGTTTCTTTATGAAGGGTATGTCATGCTAACTTATATCGTGTGGTTCCTCTGAAAGACACTGGATTTTTTTTTCTGATTTACTATCCTTCTGTCTGTTCCTGTCTGTCCCTGCTCAGATCCATGCTGTTGGTTTGCCACTAAACTACCAAACAGCCGGGATCTGCAGGAACAGTGAAATTCAGTCATCTCTTCCTTTTGTGCACCAATTTGTTACCACCTATTTATTAAATCTGATGGTTGCAAGTCTTGAGAGTCTTTATACAGCTATTTTCTTTAAAGCTTTTAGAAATCAGGTAGAAGGTAAAGCTGTCATAAGCATCCTCTACCTTGAAAAAGATTTCAGTCACCTCTGAAAGAAATGTCTGATTCTAAAAAATGTCCCCGAGCTGAAAGCTTTTTTTTGTGAAGTATCCAGGAAATGCAAAGGAGGTCACTGCATTCATGTACCTGGAAAAGAAAAGCAGATTTCTTTTAATTATCTGAGGTGTTGAAACTGACAGTAAATAGTGGAGTAATTGGAAGAATATATTGAATCCTATCTCATTATTGCACACTTTAAATAGGCAGGCATGAGGAGACCTTTCATATCACAAAAGAAACAGAACATCTTTTATTTTGGTTTAAGAACCAGTTTATCATCAGTTTATAAATTCACTGTTGCTTTGTCTTGAAACAAGCTGGTTTTGAATAGTATGTCTCCTTTTCTTGATGACTGTGCTTCTCAAAATGAGTCTCTGAACTGTGTATTTTTTTTTCCTTTGTGCAGAATGTTCTCAGCAAAAGTGGTTGAGAAGATTGAGAAGTAGACCACCTCACGTTGCCTAGAGTTGCAATTAAAAAAAAAGTAACCCTCAAGTTTGAAAGCCAGATTCAAAGTACTGTTTGCCTCTGGGCATTGTAAAAGCAGTGGCTATTAGATGACTAATAGCTTAGGTGGTTGTTAGTAAAACTCCCAAAATAACTTCCTCAAAAATGTGTGTGTAGCTTGAAAAAAACACATGTTTGGTGTGTTATGAGTGTATCACCAGTCTTGGAATGAGAAGAGTATTCAGCTGCCTGGTTTTAGTTCAGTTTGTGGCATGGGTGATGGGAAGTTTTTTTTGGATCTCCCTCTATAGGTAAAGACAACTGGATCATGCAAGAACCATCAAAAAGATAAGTGCCAGGAAACTTTTCAAGTAATTTTGTAAATCTTGGGGGCTGTGTCAAATTTGCCTGGATTGAGAGGATGACTTACTTCATCCACCATATAAAGTCAGATCAGAAGTGAAATTTCAGACAAATAATACCAGTTCCTGTTTTGTCAAAAGATCCTCACTGAATGTAAACCTAGCTCACATGTATCTTCATCTGCATCTCAGTATTTTGGTTCTCAGTGATTCTCTTTTTAGTCTTTATGTATTTGTATCTTGGTTTTTTGTGTTAGGACTGTTTTTAGGACTGTTTAACGCTCTCTCAAAATCAAGTCCTTGGAATGAGTTATAGAAATAAAGGCATCAGTCAAGTAGTGAGCCCTCTAGTGTAGTAATGTGTTTGATAGCGGGCAGAGCTTTTTCCTTCAGAGAAGTGCAGACTCCTCTATGGAATAAGGTGTTCAGACTTCTCTGAATTGACTTCCTATGTCTCATGCAATTAGTGGTTTTGTTGTACCTTGCCACTTATTCGTATCACTTATGCTTTTCATCCAATTTAATCTGAAGCTTGCTTTCATTGTAGTTTTTTAATGGAAAAGTTGTTGTGTTTTCAATACTACAATACTGTAGTTATTTAATGTGTAGTTTTAAAGAACTATAAAGAAGGTTCTTAAAAGTTAATGTACACATGGAATATTCTTGAATAAATTTCATGTTCATATGAAACACCATTTTTCTAGAGCCCTTGCAGTCTTGCTTTCAGATGACACAGACATAAGGGAGATTAACACTGCTCAGAATGCTGTGAACCTTATTTTTTGTGATGTTCCTGTGTGGCATTGCATGAAGGTGATCCCTGTCGGAAGATGTGCTTTTCCAGCTTGATATTATGCCTCTTGTCCAGACTTGGAAGGAGTTCCTATCCTGAAGGTTTAACATAAATACAGTTTAGAGAGTACACTGCATTGAATACATAAATATAGCAACTTCAACTGCAAGGGCAACTATTGCTTTTCTGTGTATCAGTTAGAGTACCTCATAAACAGAGTATGATCTCTCTTGCTTATTTTGAGTTTAAAAGAGGAGATTGATACCTTGTTTTTCTAACTCTATAGGAGGTCAGAAGCCAACAGAAGTTGAAATCTCAAGAGTGCTGACTGTGTTTTAGTCTCAGTGTTTTCTTTCTTTAAACAATTGAAAGTGTTCCAAAGAATGTGTTACTTCTATTCCTGAAGAAGAATTCAGCACAATTTACTTTTGCATGTGACCAGTACCTTCTAGGTATTTCAAATATTAAGAATGGTTTGGTAGGAATAGCATATACACATATGAACCACTTGTGCCAGCAGCTCGAGTCTGTTGTAATATTTAAGAGTTCTTGATTGCTGTAATGTATATTGTTGTAACTAAGGTGATAGAGCACTCTTTGCAGGTAACACAGGGTATGTGCCTAACAGGTGTATGATTTAACCTGCCAGCAAACTGGCAACAAGATGTATTTTAAGAGTTACTTGTACTGTATAAACAGATTTCTTCTCCAGAGATGCACATATACTTTAAAAAGACCAACCTTTTTTTCAGGTCCCTTTACAGATGTAGTAACTACAAATCTTAAACTACGAAATCCGTCAGATAGAAAAGTATGCTTCAAAGTGAAGACCACAGCACCTCGTCGATACTGCGTGAGGCCAAACAGTGGAATTATTGATCCAGGATCATCTGTAATTGTTTCAGGTAAAAATAAATATATGCAGTTGTAGGTTAAGTGTTTTTGAGGCCTTTGATGCAGTTCCCTAATGCTTGATACGAAAGACTGTTTGAAGTATGTCAGCTTTTTAAAACCTTTTTATTTTTAAATAACAAGGATTCCCCTTGTTAGTGGGATGGCAGCTTGATGTAGAGCTGCAATGATACAGAAATCTTCCATGTAGAAATACTTGCCTTTGTCGCATTTATTTGTGGCTCCCTAAAAGGAGGAAAAACAAGTTGAAAATGGGCAGTGACATTAACAGTACCTTTGCCTCAGACTACTATATTCATGTTTGTATCCTGAAGTAGAGCATTTCTTGGCTGCTCTGATGTGCTTTCAGTGTAACATTTCATAGTTCATTGCATTTAATAAAAAATTGGTTTGCAGTTGTATCTAGTTGTTTTTCTCAAGAAAATGGGAAAACAAGATACTAGTCTGCAGATTGGGTAAATGATTTTTGTAGGTCATTCTTCTGACCATTTTGTAGTAGAACCTCTAGGATAAGGGGAATTCAGGTTGTAGATATCACAGGCAATACAGGTGTGAGCTCCTAGATCTCCTAGATCTAGAAAACTGATTATTTTAGAACCCTTGGAGACCTCTGTGGCAAAGCAAAAGGGAAATAAGATAGCAATCCTCAGAGCTTTTCAGATCCACATTCTTGCACCCTTTGGGAAGTTTAAAAGAAACTGGAGAACTATCTTCAGGTGTTTTGTTCAAATACTGCAAAGAAGAACGCAAGACAAGTTTATGATTGATTAAAACCTTAGAGTAACTTTGCTTGTAGGAGTTTTCTAATCTAATATGATCTGTAGAATGGGGCCCTTTAAAACTTCATTATTGCTTACCATGGGCAGTCCAGCATCTGGACTCGTGGTACTTATTCACTGACTTGGGGATGAAAGATTATTTTACTGAGAATTGATTCAAGATTCAAATAGTCAAAAACTTCTTTATTTCCACCTTCAACTCCAATTTACAGCCATTTTGCTGTAGCTGTGTGTTTGACCTGGTATCTGGGATTTTTCCGCTGGGTAGTTCAATATCACAATCAAGATCTCGCTGGCATTTCTCTTCAGGGAATTGAATAGATTGAGGGATTACATCCTGTGTGTTTTCATAGTTATAAATCATCTTTTTAAAGCTTTAAATATTTTGGTTTTTTAAATGAGTCAGTACTGGAGCTGTAAACAGTACTGTGGCTTCAGGATCTCCAATAAAGGGAAACATGTCACACTGCTTGAGTCTTCAGTTGGCATGGCAGGAAGTCTTTGATGTGCCTATTTCTGTATTACTGGATTCTCATGCAGTTATTCAGCTGCAGTGACCTCAAGATGTTTTCAAGTGCCATTGTTTAGTTACAGTGATTCCACAGTGCTTTTCAGAACTAAGTTCTCTTCCCCACAGTGTCAGCTTCATATTTTTGTTTTTAGGCATATAATTTATTTTGGGTCATCTGCTAAGATAAGTGCACAGATTATTTTTCTAGTGACCCACTTTATCTCATCAGTCTCTCAGCTGAATGTTTTCAGTGCTGAGTCATCTTTCATATAATTAAAAATAGATTTCTCTCATATTGTTGGACAGAGAGAAATAACTATAGGATACTGTGTGCTGAAGCTCTTATGTTCAAAACTGAATGTTGTGGTAGTGTTAGCTGTCTTCAGCCTGTTTAATGCATCGTGCTGATTCAGAGCCAAGCCAGTTTTAAATTCACTGTTGGAAATGTGATTTGACAGTCATTTTATGGAAGTCCACTGACATTTTTTAATTTATTACTTTTCAACTATGAATCACTAAGTAACCTTCAGCCATAGTTTTTCTTTTTTTTTCCCGAAAATACAAATTCCGTAAGAGCTGTTTTTCTTTATGTTGATACCCTAAATTTACTATTTATTGTCCTGTCACGTATGGTTTGCTGTTAACTTGTTAACAGCAATTGCTTGTTCTTGGGTGTTTTTCATAATATACCATGTTACTCTTGTTCCTTCACAGCTTGTTACTGTTACTTGTTAATGTTTTTCTCTCTGCTTTTGCATTTTTCTAGCTATTTCAGTATCTCTGCCATAGCTTTCTCATTGCTATAAAATAGGTACATATATAGATTACTGTTACAGGACTCCATGTATTTTTTCTTATATTTTTCTGAAACTGCCTCTGCTTCTCTTAATTTTGTGTGAAGATATACTGAATTTAAATTCCCATTCTCTGGAAGACAGGTGTATGTACACTGCAAAATAATTTCTCTCCAGTTCACTGCATCTTCATCCTCTGGTAGATCAAGTTGCAAGTCTACTCTCAGATACACATATTTAGATGTAAATTTTTTGGGTCTCTTTTGCAGGATGTTTGCTCACATTTGTATATGAAATGTCTTTTCCTATAGTAATTACAGAGATAATCATGTCAGCCAAACCAGACTCTGACCTCTCAGTCCCTTTTTCTACAGTGTATGCACTGCCTTTGCATTTTAACTTTCCATGTCTGTTCAATGAGGACTTAAGTCTAAAGAGGTTACTGAATGTACATGCTTGCTGTAGTGATTAGCTGAAGAATCACAGGGTTTTTCTTTTCCTTTGGAACAGTAATGCTGCAGCCTTTTGACTATGACCCAAATGAGAAGAGTAAACACAAGTTTATGGTACAAACAACCTATGCACCACCAAATATTACAGATATGGAGGCAGTGGTAAGTAAAATTGGATTAAAATGGCTGATGTATTTTTTTTCCTTAAAAAATTTGCCTTAACTATAAATGATTCACGTTGTTGCAATTCCTTTTTGAAGAAGAATTGGGTTTTCTCTGAACAAATGTGACTTCAAATGTGATTCAGAGTTTTTAATATGAAATACAAGGTCAGTTCTTAGAACTTGCCTGTATTGATTAACATAGAGATTACTGAATGGAAATAGGAGTGAGTCTAAGGTAAGGTCAGTTCAGTGTTAAAATATGGGCATATTATATCTTACATATGCAGCTAATTTAAAAGGGATAAACAGGTTGAATTTGAAAGAATCAAGAGTATATTCAAACAACAAGCCTGAAGCTGTATGTAAGTGGGTTCATGTGGTATGAAAAGTGTTTAAGTGAAATGTTGAATGGGATTGTAATGAATTAAAACATTTTCAAGACGAAGATGTGTCTCCATACAAGATACCAAGTCCTGGCTAAACACAGCACAAATGATAGATTTATTGTCTATTTTAATAGGGCATATTGTAGCTTTAGTTCTTAGGCTGGGTTGGTCTGATGCAAGATCCATAAAGAAGATATGTAGGTTTGTGCTTGTTTGTTCAAAAGTAAGGTGACTGTTTCTGATTTTACTGGCTGGCAGCAATGGGAATGAAGCCCTCAGTTGTCAGAACATGTCTTTTAGGGTGTATGTGGACTCATGTAAGTATGTCCTGAGGTGGAGGTCAACGTTGCACATGCTTCTGACTTTACAAACTATTTTAAGTAGTGCCTGGGTTCATACAGGTACATTTGATGTTCACTTAAGGCAGAGAAGGAGAGGGGAAACAAAGGTTAAAGATGAGATTTTATAAATTGCTGAAATCCAAGAGATCTTTTGGGCTCTGTCCCCTTATATGAAGGCAGAGACTGCCATGACATCAGTCTTCACTGGAAGCAGTGGAAAACCTTCTAGATTTTGTGAGGCTTTGGAGACATGAGTGTTAACATCTGTCTGCCTTTTTGAACTGGTTTGTTTTTCTTCATATGCTTTAGGAGCTCTTGGTTATGTTTGGTAAATGAAGCATGCCTATTTGGTGAGGATATAAAAACCAACTTCAGAAATACCTTTCAAATAACTGCTTTCTTAGTCAGTTCAGGGTATACAGTACTGAGAAACAGATCTTTCAGAAAATTGCTAATTGTAGTTAAAAGTTACTATATAACTAATACTGCTGGGGGAAAAAAAAAGCATGTTATGAAAAACCTGAATATTTGAATCTGTAACACCTATAGGGTAACAGGAGGACCTTTTAGAAAAGTTGCTGCAGACTTCAGACCAGTGTCTGAGACTAAGAATTTAAGGCAACTACATGAAGTGCGTGCATTGATAGTTAATTGTCAGTTGAGTGGAGAGATTCCAGCATAGTTTAGTTATTTAAATATACGGAGAACCATTGAAATTTAAATGTTTTTTAGAAACAGCTTTGGAAAATTCTCTAGGCCCAAATTGTCACATTATGTGCAATAAAAGGAGAAGGCAGGTAAAAGTCTAAAATTTGAAGAACTAAAGAAATTTACTCTAGAACACATGTAGAGTCACTAAAAGGTGTCTTTCAGTCTTTTATTTAAAAATCAGTGCTTCCAAGATGGGATACAAGCAGTACATTTACCAAGGCCATAATAGGGATAGAACTTTCTTCTCAAACTGACTCAGATGCTACTTTTCTCATTGTGTGTTAAGAAACCACTGTATTGTCCCCTCCGTGTTTCATACAAACCTCTGATGGATCCATCCTTGCATTCAGTTTGCTCTTTTTCATTTCCAGTCTTGAATAACCATCTCTAGCTTTTGTTACTTTACAGCCGTGTGAGTGAACAAAAAGCATTGTTCATAAGCAAGTCTGAAAATTGCAGGGAGGGTAAGCATGGTATTCAGCTGTATGGAAGGTCAGTGCTAAGAGCAAGCTCATGAACTGTTCAGATGTTTGCATAAGTCCAGCGTGTTAAATAACTCTATTAATTGTTTCTTAGTGGAAAGAAGCGAAACCTGATGAGTTGATGGACTCCAAATTGAGATGTGTGTTTGAAATGCCCAACGAAAATGATAAACTGGTAAGTAAGGAATAAAAAACTCATACACTGACTGGTAGGATCTCACAGAAATTTCAGGGGTTTTTTTTAACTTACTTGATTTAATGACTAAATGAATCTATGGAATTTGTACTAAATTAGGCCGGAGTGGTGTTCAGTATATAACTTTTTAAGGATTCATAGAATCATGGAACAGCCCAGGTTTAAAGGGACCTTGAAATACTGTCTGGTCCAAGATCTAGTCTGAAAGGGAGCACTCTGTCCAACCACATCTTAAAAAACTCCAGCAATGGAGAGCAGTGCCAAAAAATTATATTTTTGTTATTTTTGTACTTTATAGTTTTCAGATGCAGTTTTCAGATCTGTTTAATCTTGGAGGGAAGGGAATGTAGGGATTTCTTTGTGGTCAGAGTTTTTGGGGTTGGTTTGTTGTTTTTTCTTTCTTTTTTGGAAAGGATAATTTGTGAGATGAAGGTGTAAGCTTCCTAAGTGTCTGTTAAACAGTAAAAGTGTAAAGGTTTTTTTATTTATTATCATTTTTATAATATAATAAATATTTTATATTTATTAGCATTTATTATCAAGGCACTTAGTTGTCTACTTTCTAGCTTTAATTTTATAAAGTGTGTAATGTAGTGAGAGAAATGTAATGGGTTATACAAAATTTCCTCCTTTTGTACTTCCTCCTAAGAAACTGTCCCTAGGGACAGAGGAGCTTGTTCTTTAATTAAAAAGTCATCTCTTTTACAGCCACTCTTAAGGGCTTTAGGCCCTTCTAGGGCCCACTCCTTAAGGCCATTTTTCTTAGAATGCAAGAGCTCTCCATCCTCATGTGTAAGAAATCAAGGAAGGCAGGCTGGAAAATGGCATGGCTGAGCAAGGATCTGCTCCTTGCATTCAGTGAGGAGGCAGTTCACAGCCAGTGGAAGCTGGACTTGTGACTTGGGAAGTACAGGGATATGGTTTGGGGGCGTGTAGGAGTGGGATCAGGGAAACTAAGGCACAGATTAAATGGGATGTGACAAGGAATGTGAAGATAACAAGAAGGGACTCCATAAGTGTGTAGTATGTTAGAAAACAAAGACAAGGAGAGTGAACCCCCCTGATAAACAAGAAAGGAGAACTGGTGACAACAAATATGGAGGAGGCTGAGGTACTCACTGACTTCCTTGCCTCAATCTTCACTGGCAATCAGGCTTGCCAGGTCTTGGGAGTTCTCATGGTTGAAAAGCTGGACATGAACCTACAGTTTGTGCTCACAGTCCAGAAAGCCAATTGCATCTGGGACTGCACCATAAGAAATGTGGCCAGCAGGTGAAGGGAAGAGATTGTCCCTCCTTCTACTCTGCCCTTACGAGACCCCCTCTGAAGTCCTGAGTCCAGCTCTGGGTTCCCCAGCATAAGAAGCATGTGGGCCGGCTGTGAAGACAGGCAGAGAGAACTGTGGTTGTTCAGTCTGGAGAAGGCTTCATGGACACCTCATTGCAGCAACTTTTAACACAGGCAGATACTGATAGCACAAGGGAGAATAATTTTCAACTGAAAGTGGAAAGATTTGGGTTAGATGTTTGGAGGAAATTCTTTGCTCAGGAGGTAGTGAGGCACTGGAACAGGTTTCCAGAGAAGTTGTGGATGTCCCATCCTTGAAGGTGTTCAAGGCTGTGTTGGATCAAGCTTTGAGCAATCTGGTCTGGTGAAAATTGTCCCTGCCTGTAGTGGCGGGGGGGAGGGGGGGAGGAGGTTGGAACTAGATCTTCTTTGAGGTTCCTTCCCACCCAAACTATTCTATGATTGTGTGATTTTAGCAGAGCTGTGGGAATTAGATTGTTAATTTTAATATTGTTCTTTTCACAGCTTTTTGTGACTCCTCACAATTAGTAATATGTATTTCAGATGCTGTCAGACTTAATTTTCATGTTTGTGCAGCACTTTATTTTCCTTCACTAAAAGGTATTATAAGCACAAAACATTTGTGTCACACATACTTCATAGGAATTGGTGACATGACCTGTTCTGATTTTACTTCCTTTTGTTTCTTACTATTGCAGGATTACTTTCTTGCTTTTATTTCCCCCCACCCCCAAGTTCAAATGCTCTTTGGTGTGTTTTATGCCCTCTTTTGGATGCCTCCTGGGCTGGTGTTAAGCAGCTAAAGTATTAATTTGTGTCTCAGTAGAGTGTAGTACCAGATAAACAGGGCAATCTCCTCTTGCTTTTTTAATACTTGAGCTAATCAGAATTGAACTGTCAGTGTGTCTGTTCAGTTTACTGTAAATATAAACCTCATTGAACTATATTTGTAGCTTCATTGTTTCACTTTTAAGCTGTGGATGATTTTTCTCTAGGTAAGTAAATTCTCAAATCGTTCTTAATGTTTGTAGAATGATATAGATGCAAGCAAATCCGCCCCAGTACTGAACACATCTAAGCAGGATGGACCGATGCCAAAACCACATAGTGTTTCACTTAATGATACTGAAACAAGGAAGCTCGTGGAGGAGTGCAAAAGACTTCAGGCAGAGATTATGAAGCTGACAGATGAAAATCGGCACCTGAGAGTAAGTTCTGTGTCCATGTTTATACTGAAGTTGCTTAACTCTTCTTGATTGAAAGGTCTGGTTTATAATTAGGGCAAAAGATTTATATTCCAGCAAGTAGATGTCAAGATTGATTCATGATATGAGTTTACTGTCCTGTATATAATGTATATTTTGAACTTGTCAGTGATTGAGACTTTGTGGTTGTCGTGGAGGAGACATTGAAGCTGCATAATTTTCTTCTTAAAAAAAGTGGTCCTATTTAAGGTGATCTTATTTACTTTAAGTCTAAGTCCAAGCTATTGAATTAGTAGCTTTGTAAAAGTGCTTTATTTTTCATTAACGATGAGTGAGATCTAGAGCAGTCACGTTTTGTATTACAAACAGCTAGTGAACAAGAGCAATTGTTTGGCCGGAGGAGGTAAGCAAACACTACTTTCTTGTACCTTTATGTAAAGGGGTCATTTCAGTGACCAGTAACTAGTCAATACATGACTTTGTGTCTTTTCTGTATATTTGCTTTTGGAAGAGTTCTGACAATTTCATTGGTCATGGTAGCCTTTTAGAAAATCATGAAATAATGTATCTCCACGCCTGTTATTTTGATGACATTGGCACTAAACAAAGCAGATGTTTCTCCTTAGCAATAAGGAATTACTGCTATTTAATTTTGACAGATATTAAGTAAGAGCAGAATGCTTCATTGGGCCTAGCAAGATTTTTGGTACATTTTTTAAGCAGAGAGACTAGTGAATTATGGTTCCTATTTAAAATACGGTTTTCTATGTTCATGTTTTGGATTTTGGTATGCTGTAATGTTGTATGTGTTGAGGGGTTTTTTTAAACTTTATTTAAATACTTACCAGTAAATGTGGCCTTTTGAGTTCAGCTTTTACTATCCTAGTGGTATATTTATGGTTTTTTTTCCATCTATGTCTTTTCTTCCCCTCAGGATGAAGGCTTGAGGCTCAGAAAGGTAGCGCACTCGGATAAATCTGGATCACCCACAGCTTTGGCCCTCAGAGATAATGGCTCTAATTCTCTTCCTTCACTTCTTGTTGTAATTGCAGCCATTTTCATTGGATTCTTTCTAGGGAAGTTCATCTTGTAGAAAGAATGAGTCAGAGAAGCATGCAAAACTGCAGCTTCCTTTTTTTTTGTTTTGTTTTGTTTTTGTTTATTTTTGTTTTCTCTTGGCCAGAAAAAGGTTTGTTTACCTACCACATCATGGGGTAGTATGGCCCGAGCGGCCGTTCTTGTGTACAGCATCATAACAGGCTTTGCCTTTAATGATCTTGCACGGTTAGAAAACACAATCTGAGAAGACAAACTGTTCAGCTGCTGGACAAAATTGTACATTCAGTCATCAATAGCAGGTATCAGTTGCACAGTCAGTCCTTTATGAAAATTCATAAATAAAGAATTGTTCTTTCTTTCTGTGGTTTTAATAAGAATTCAAAAATTGTTCAGAGTCTTGTAAATGTTATTTTAATAATCCTTTAAAATTTTATCTGTTGCTGTTACCTCTTGACAAATGATTTATTAGATTGCTAATCCCACTCATTCAGGAATATGACAAGAGGTATTCTGGGGGAAATGGTGCCTCTTACTGTGTAAATTTTCTCCTTACCTTACTTTGCTAATATCATGGCAGAATTTCTTTCTTATTCCTTGTGAGGCATTGTTGAGAGTTCTTCATCCTTAACAGTCCTGTCCCATAATATTTAACATGACAAAAGAAATAAAATTGTTAACAGATTTTTCTGCTGGGTAGCCTGTTTGTGTGTGTCGTGCTTTTAGAGGGGATTCTTAACAAGTTCATTGTTCATGGTAATTTGCTACTTGTAACAAATGGCTATTTTGAAGTTTATTTGCTTTAGTCTCTGGCTTTGACTGTTGTACTTGAAGCTTGGGAAAGAAGAAAAAAAAAAGGTTTCCATTCCATTTGTTTAAAAAAGTGGACTGTTTTCTGGCTGCTTTCAGCTACAAAGAGGATGGTTATCAAACTTGGGACAGAATCAATCTGTTTTGGGACAGAATAATTTGGAAATCCAGCAGGTGCAAATGCCAGACATGAATGTTTTCAATACATTAACAATTTGCTTGGATTGTGCAGGAGCATAATAATCAACCTTCTGTTCCATCTTTGGATCTTCTGGGTGTCTTCCAGGAGTCAGCATTATTCTTTGATTTCTTAAGGGTACTTAATTCACATGTATTAACTTACTCAGTTTATAATTCTGTCTTAGCAGATACTAAAAAATGCAAGTCGAATCATTCAGACACCCGTAGTGAATTCCATGATGCAGAAGAGTTGATATTTGCTGAGTTGCTCACCTTTGGCTCAGTTGCTCACCTTTGGGAAATAAAAATCATTTTATGCAACTCTTGGCAGATCTGCCTGTTTTAACCATGTATAGCTAAGTTTTAAAAAATGCATTTTTGGGGTCTGAAATGCTTCCCTGCACTTAATCTTATGTCTTGCCTCATCTCTGAATATGTCATAAAAACAAACAGTAGTATTGAAACAAAATATTATCTGTACTTCTGAGTAAGCATAATCCAATACAGGGAATTACTTGTAAACTTGAAAAATTGTGGAAGAGGTATACTCCTGTAAGCAAAATTGTGTATGCTCTTGGACAGCTTGACTTGATGTGGTGCAGCTAAGTGTGTTAGACCTTGGTATGTGCACACCTTATGTAGCTGAGAAAAATGTTCTGGGAAAGATGTACGTTATCTTGGTTGCCTTTGATTTCTACTGCTTTTTTTTTTTTTTTAATTCCATCATGTTCTGTCATAGCTCTCTGTGATAAACTTTTTTTATAAAATCTTGCACACGTACAAGGAAGATGATGGAGAAAATGCAAATACTGCTTATCTTTTCACTTAAGCATGCAAGCACTGATGTTTCCAGTTACATGTTCCAGTGTCTGCATTCAAGTCTCCTTCCATCCCAGTGACTGGAAAAAACTGTGTTAAGGTTTCAATTATTTTGGTTCCGCTGGTTCAGAATGGTGTATTTCTTCTGATTTTTTTCTCTGACAGAACATTTCCACATCAAACTTTCATAGCCTGTTCCAAACTGATTACGTGGAAAATAACGAAAGCAATATTGTGCAGGATGTAGTTTGCTTAAATAGAGCAGTCATTCCTGCGTTGAAGGGAGAAAAAACCACACAAAACCCTCTGGAAGATCTTAAAATGTTTACAGCGTGGTGTGCGGAGGTTTTCAAAGGTGCTAGCACTTAGAGGACTTTAAACCAGAAAAAAAGGTCATTGCTCAATGCAGCTGACTCAGGTTTTGATGTCTGGCAGCAGAAATATGGTAAAAGTAATGCTAAAATCAGAATGAAGTAACTTTTTTTCAGAAATAAGAAAAAAGTTGATGGTAAAACTTTGGTTGTGGTTTAAGTGATGTTTTCAAGTGTACAGCACTCTTGTAACCCGAGTTCTCAGTAATGCTCTAAGGAGACTGTCTTGGTTTCCCGTAATCCCTTCATAGCTGTATATAAAATGTAATGCTAAAACTATTTTGCTCTCAGGAGTCCCTTTGGATGAGATCAGCTGTATTCAGTGAATTATGTAATATGGATTAAATTGTTTGTCTTTGTTCCTGAAATGGTTAGAACTTCTTGCTTTGTCTGCCTGCTTACTTGTGTATGTAAGCACAGGGAAATACAGTCTCTCCACCTGCTCCTGGTGAGATGAGCAGACGGTGATGCCCCTAAAGTCGTGTCAGGGTAAATGCCTAATTTTGGTTAAATACACATTGCAGGTTGCTCTTCTGATTTCTCAAAAGGGCAAGATGATACAAGTATACAATATCAAAGTACTTATTTAAAATTTTCTATGAATATAGCACTTTAAAAAAAGAGTAGTATGGTTCAGGGGGAAAAAATAAACAGCTAACTAGAAGATACAGCTTCTTTAGTAATTCTGGGCACCAAATTTAACCCACTTAAATAAATAAATATATATATATATATATATATATATATATAAAGTTAGTTATTTGTGTCAATGCACAAGTTATTTGTGTGTTTCTACTCATTCTCTAAAAGCTGTTGACAGACACTATTGCCCAGGCTTGCATGTTTCTGCTGCTATGTTTGAAGCCAACTTACTTAAAAGAAGCAACCAAACATTAGCTTGGAACTTCATTATCCTCCTGGGAGGAGGGAGGGTGGAGGGAGGAGTTGAAAGGTGACATTTTGCCAAAGGGGAAAAGACAAAGCCAATAAGCAAAACTTATCTTTCAGGCCTTCTTCAAAATTATTAAAGGTTGAAGTGTTAATAAACTATTAAAAATGTAGCGGTGTCCTTTTTATTTTGGAACTTCTCCCTGACTCCATTCTGTGGACTGCTGCTAGAGAAGAGGTGTATCTGGTCCCATGGGTGGTGTTACTGCCCTGCTCTAGGTTCTGCTGGTAAAGGCAAGAGACTGTCTTGGATGGAGAGTCGGTATTGGAGTGAAGAACAGGTGCCTTGATCCAGGCAGCACTGGGCATGCTGATGGGTCTGTCAGATTTATAAGAATCATCTTGACAAATTTAGTTTTTCCTTTTGGGAGTCCTCTGGTTTTTATGTGTGAACTGACTTGCTGGAGCAAACACTTGTTTCAGTCTGTAGCAAAAGATGGAATGAGAGCTACGCAGTTATAGAGCAACCCTAATAAATATTGGCTGTAACACTGCAACACCCTCCAAGTTTGCAGGCGGGATTGAAATTCCGTAGCCTGTCTTTTTAGCTGCATTGCTGTGAAGGTAATAGTTCACTGCCTTGCCTGCTACTCTGGTTCCTGTGGAATGGCTTTGTGGGGGGTGTCCTGGAAGGCCCATCTGTGTGTAGCACTCACACCTGCTGCACTCACCCAGTAGGGAGCCTCTGTCCTTGCTGATCCTGAGCCTCTGTGGTGGCTTTAGAGTGGTGGCACATTGGAGTGTTGGACAAGAGGGGGAGCTAAGTGCAGGAGTGAGCTTTCACAAGGGTTTGAGCTCCTTCCTGTGGGAAGTACTGAAACTAGTGGTGATAAAATGAAGTAGGTTATTCTGGTCCAAATGTGTTTCCCAGGGACACTCAGATAGTGTAACCAAGTGTCTGACTGAAGTTGGTTATTTCTGGTCCAAATGTGTTTCCCAGGGACACTCAGTGTAACCAAGTGTCTGACTGAAGTTAGTGTGTTGTGTTTTTCTGTTTCAATGTGTGTTATGTTTGTTGAGGAATTGCTGATTCTAACAGGGCTGCATAAGCGGAGGTAGTGCTGGTGTTGTCGCCTCTTATTTATTTGCCCAGTATGTGACAAATGATCATGTAGAACAGAGGTCTTGTGCAAAGACAAAGCAGTTGATTCTTACCTTTTATCTGGCATTGTCATTACTGCCAGGGGGTGGTAAGGTCAGTGCCTGTGCCTCATTTGCTGGGAGAAGGGTTTATGTGTTTGTGTGGTGAACTAGATCTGGAAACTGCTTCGGATGAAATTACTGTTTCATCCACTAGAAACTATGTTTTAACTGAATCCTGGTATAAGCATCTCCACCACAATGCAGTGCCATTTTATTTAAAACTTGGTACCAGTGTACGTAGTGTTGGTAACACTGCCAGCAGGGTATTGAATCCCTGTTAGTACTGCAGCTACTCTCTTGCTGGCGGTGGTGGAAGGCTTATGTTCTCCCTCTTCCTTAGAAATTACTTAAAAGGATGTTTGTGGTAGCCAGGCAGAGAGTTGTGAGGCAGACAGTGATAATTACAGCAAAGCAGTCTGAGCTCAAGCACTTCAAATAAGTGAAACAGTGATTGAAGGGTGGCTGAAATAGTTATTGTTACCTTTTGAATTGGTTGATAAGAAAAAAAAAAAAACATTGTAAGTTGTTTTATTTAGTTGTGGTGGTTTGTTCTTTTTTTTTTTTTTAAGTTAGGCTGCTGATCATCCAAGTTCTGCAGGGGAAAAAAAACCCTACAAACAACCAACCAGTTGCCATAGTCTAGGAGTAATTATTTCAGGATTTTATGGAAAGTTTTTACTAATATTGGTGCAGGCTCACATGCAGAGATGAATTTGGAGAGACTGTTACTGGGGATCAGTATCTAGGCTTTTCTCATGGTGGGTAGTAGTTAAATAGCAGTCTTTGTGAGTGTCTTGGTCTGCCTTGTCAAGGATGGGTTGGTTATCCTGGCTTTTGAGGTAGGGAAACTGAGGCATGAATGTTGAGGCAAATGGCTAGGTAGTTTAAGCACAGCCCTTTAGCATACATTCTGCCCTGCTTCTCATCAAGTATTCCTTGAGCCACGTCCAAGTCTTTTTTTTGTTTGTTGGATTTCAAAAATGCTGCTCCATGTTGCTTAGACATCTGTAACAGTATTTTGAAGCAGCTTCCTAAAGACTTAGCTGCTGCTTTGTCTGCTCCTGAAGCCAAGTGTTGAATGGACAGAAAATATAACTGTTAGGTGTTTAGAAGTGGAATGTGCTCACTTGAATTATATTGCCTGACCTCAGCCAAAGATAGTCGAGGGGGGAAAAAAGGAAAAAAATATGCTAAGCATTTGGGTGTGTTGTGTTTGTAGTCATGAAACATAAAAATCAGTCTGTGTTGCAAAAAACTTCTGTGGACCCAGTTCTGTTTGCACTTAACAAGTAAAAGAAAGCAAACTGTCCTAAATGTGTACAGCTGCCCTGTTAGTGGAGGTATGTATCATTGAATTGGGTTTCTGTGGCAAGGCTTTGGTAGTGGGGGGGCTGCGGGGGTGGCTTCTATGAG